CTGGAGAAGGGCAAGAGCTGCATCACGGCATCTGGGCACAAGGTGTGGAGGAGCCAGCCACTGCGCCGTGCTCCTGGCATGGCTTTGCAACTGGTCTGGAGGAAATTCAGAGCCAGTAGAGATTCCAGCTGCCATCCTTCCTACCCACACCTGCCTGCCAAGAGCATCCCATGGGAACCAGCAATGTCCAGCTTGCTCCTTCCACCCACTTCTCTGGACAGTGACCAAAGCAACCCCACACCACAAAAGCAGAGTGTGCCAGGGAGGGGGAACTCACCTTGTGGTGCTGCTTGACGATGTTCACCAGGTTGCGGTGGAACTCCTTCCTGCGCTGCAGCAAGCGGGACGCTGACAGGTGCGGGCGGCCGTCCGCTTTCTCCTCTGCAAGGACAGACACAGGCATCACCCACAGCACCACCACAACAGGGCCCAAACCTCCAGAGCCTCAGGAAGGACAGGATCAGACCCTGCCATGGGGCTGAGCCAGAAGCACTGCCCTTTCATCCTTCCTCTCGTCCCAGAAGTGTTTTCCACTTCTGATGCATAAAGGCCTGAGCGTGTTGGAAGATGATCTTAACAGCCCAAGCAGAAGAGCATCCCTGGGGATTCAGGGATCTCAGCCAGGACTGAGCACCCCAGCTCTCAAGACCCCCCCCAGCCATACGTACCTTCCCCCAGCACTGGCTCCAGTGTGAGCTGGTAGTCAGACTTCTTCCTGCCGTTGCCAAAGGTGGGGATGTTCCTCTCCTGGCGCAGCCTGTACGCAGCGGGATAGACCGCCTTGATCTGCCCCACGTGCCGCTCCTCAAACTGCCTGCAACAGCACCCACAGAAGCTGGAAACCCCCAGGGCTGACACCAGGGCATCAGCCCCAACAGCTTCAGCTGGGACCCACCAAAACAGGCTGCCTGCCACTGCCAACTCACCTGCGCATCATGTCCTGCACCCCCTGCTTGACCTTGGCGAAGGTGATGGTCTCGGCGCGGTTGAAGAGCATCCCAGCGATGGTGTCCACGCTGCGGAACATCTCTGCCAGCACCTTGAACTTGTAGGGCAGGGTGAGCCCTGGGGCCACGTCCTGGGCAAGGGTGTGGAACCGCTGGTACGCAGGGGTCTTCTCACTGCCAGGAAAGGAGGAGTCAGGGTCCCCCAAGACACAACAGCCACTGGCCATGGGGGACACAGCACTGGGGTGACCCCGAGGGAGCAGCTGGGGGCAGAGGCTGGTCAGGACAGGGGTCCCATTGCCAACAGGGCCAACCTTAGATCCTGCTAGGAGCTGCGTGCCCACCCTGCTTAGGGGAGACCCCTCTGTTCCCTGCATCCCAAAACCCTCCTCTGACCAATCTGTGCTGGTACCTGGGTACATCACCCACCCCCCATGGCCTGGGGACAGGACGCCCCAACGCTCATGGCAGAGTCAGTGTGTCTTGGACCAAGCTGAGGAGCCCTTTGCAGGCAGTGGGGCCAGCCAGCTCCTGCAGAACCCCCAGGCCCCCTCGGGCATGGGAAGACCCCTGCAAGGCTGCTGTGAGGCTGAGGAGGGCAGCAGGGCTGTGGCAGTCACCAGGACACCCCGACTGCCCCCAGGGCTGCTCCTCACCCGGCCTCTGCTGCAGGAGCTGCAGCCCCCCTGGCCCCCGATGTTCGTGCTCCCTCCGGGGCTCCAGTTCCTGCTTTTTTCTCACGGATCCGCAGCTCCAGTTGCCGAACCCGCTCCAGGCGGTTCCGCAGGTCGGTGCTGGTCCCGGAGGGGATGGGTGGCAGCTGGGAAAGCTGGGACAGCTCCTTCATCTTCCGCAGGCGGCTCTGCAGCCCGGCCAGGTCCTCCTGGGTGGGGAGGGGGCACAGGGTCAGGGACCC